ACCATCTTAATGGGAAAACATATGCAAATGTGGAAGGTGTTAAAGAGGACATCGACATGTTTTTTGCTTCAAAGCCAAGTGATTTCTTTAATCAGAGTATTAACAACATGATTGTAAGATGGAAAAGCATCATCGATAAGAATGGAGAGTATTTCATTTAATAAATGTTTTGTTTTGATATATAAGCTGTTCGGGTTTTTTCATCTAAAAAAAAAGCGACACTAATTTCTTGACGACCTAATACATAACAATGAACAAAGTATTGAAACATTATGGCAAGTGAATGATTTATATATAGATTTGAAACAACATTTATCGTAGAACTCTGAAACTGTTAAGTGAGATTGTTTTCTTATTTTATGTTTATTTATACATGTAAATTAGCGAATGTCGAAGTTCTAGATAAATTAAAATAAATGACGAATCTTTTAATACCCATTTAATAAAAATACTAAATTAGCATAGTAATAGAAATGCTATTTAGGTTTGAATAAATGATCAATTAACTTTACTTGTGGCTATTTCGATCTGTTCAAAATTGGAAATTTAAGTTTAATAGTATTTGCATTTCGGAGTGTACATAACAACGATAATACTTTATTACAAACTATAAAAATAAACTAAAATGGTTATCCGGAAGAGGTCGTAACTGTACTTGTTGATTCTCGTTACTTGTCAGGCGAACGCTTTCGACAAGTTTAGCTGTCTAAAAACATTTAAGCTGGAAAGGGGAAATAGGCTACACTGGATAATAAATAACACTTGATCGGAATGACCATGGGGCGTTCAACAACAACAAAAAAAGTAAGTGTCAATTTAGGTTATTTTGTTGAAATTAGCACAAAGCTAGCCGTCCCTAATTTTTAAGTGATAGACTAGAACTAGGAGTAGAAGGAATGTAGCAAGTAAAAATCACTAACTCGTGGGCTACTCTAATCGAATATTAGGGTTTGACTGTTATAACGCACGCACGGCCTCAAAATGCAGATCGTTATGTTTTTTGGCGATAACGGGACGCGAACTACTGATCTGTAGAACCTTAGGCTTAGGCCAGCACGATAACCACTGAGCTGTATTCGTCTCACGTAAATATTTAAAATAGGGGGTGGGAATTACCATGAAATTTCAATATTTTTTATACTTTTCCTAATTATCAAATGTGTATTATACTTGTCATTAGTATTAGTCCTGTTATATTTGTAACACTACACTCTTTATCTAGTCTCGTACGGAGTTTCAAGAATTAGAAGAGTGTATAATAATGGCATTGCAAATACGCTATATTCGCCATATCCATTCACGACGACGCGTTTTGCTCAAACCAGAGCTCATCAGGTCGGCTGGGACATAACAAACTTAGTAGTAGTGATAACTCTATTTGTATAAGCCATATGTTAAAACAACAGTTGTTATGATGTGAACGCTTTTCCAAGCTGGCGAAGCATGATTATGATTGATTAAACTTGTCATAAGACATTAGTA